GGAAGCTGTCGACGAAATGCTGGCTTCGGTGTTATCGCCATCCACTTGTTTGACTGGTGGAGGCGTTTGAACCATCTTCTTGGGGGTGGTCGCTACATGGAAGGGGGCCACTACGTCCGTGTCACCCCCAGCTTCGACGTCATCGCCGTCTTCGGCGTCGCTTTCATCTTGCAGCGCTGTTTGAGGAAACAACGTCTTCTCCACAGTGACAAAGAACGGGTTCAAGAGCACTGCAAACGCCATTGAAATGTGCAAAAACATGGACGCATATGCCACTCGACGACGAGATGTGGTGTGCGACATGGCCAAGAGGAGGTTGTTGGGCGAAGCACAGCCAAAGTGGGCGTACCCGAGGGCCCCCAGCGTCACGTAGAACCCCGAAATGAGCAGCATACCGTAGACTAACGCTGTGGGCATCTTCTCTGGCTGGGGGTGGTGGTGCTGCAGTTGGGGGACGATCAACGCGGCCCCATATGCCAATGCAAACGATCCGAACGTGTCGAGGACGTTGGTAAAGCCGACGTTGTCAGTAGGTTCGTACAACTCGTCCCCGTGGGCGACATAGGCGTCGACGGTGGCAAGCACATCTGCGATGAAGGTAGCAGCTGCCCCGGAGATCAACACGATGTACGCTTCATGTAGGACGCGGATGTAGATGATGGGAAGAAGGATCACCGCCATGACCACGATCCACAGGGTGGTGGACATGTCGACGGCGCCGTCAAAGATGGCCGGAAGGAGGGTCGCCCCACCCAGCACGAGGAACGCCACCGGAAGGAGAAAACACGACGTCAACTGGGTGGCTTGCACGATGAACGACCCCTTTCGCCCCCACAAGTGGACGGCCAAGTCCGTGTACGTGTGAATATGGGGCACATGGCGGAGCTTTAGAAAACAATGTGACAGAGCGACTGTGGCGTACGTGTTGAAAAAGCAGTTGAGAACAAACGCCACCGTCGAGTAGGTCGGGCCAGCTTGCGCAAAGATGTACGGCATCGAAAGCGACCCGATCCCGCATACGCAGCATACTAGGTGCACGATCACGAGTAGGTCTTGCTTGCTGGGCAAGTGGCACGAGAACATACTTGTGACAGAGTCAAATGATTGGAAAATGAGTCCAAGACCGCGAACGTCACAAGCTCACAATATATATGCACCATACAAAATGCTGTTGTAACGTCTATGCGCCAGCGCAGCCCGCCTGGGTGTTGGCTGGGTAAACTGCACTTGGCATTACAGTAATACAGTAATTACTTGAATGTACTACGAAATCTGACGCGTACATTTTTTTGTGCCAAAGTCAAACTCACAACACAAATAACCTTGTTTCAATCCGAGCACGACGAGCATTAGAATCATCTCCTGGCGATTGTCGTAGACTATATTGAACGTTTAACTGTACAATTGTACATCTCGAAATATATAATGTCATGTACGACGAAAAAAGTGGTTCGAGTTCTCGTCGTGACCAGACATTTCTTTGCTAGTTATTACTGGGATGGAACTTGCATTTTATATGGCGCGTTACAGATGAGATGATGGTTTTGGTGTGTTGTTGATACGACAAAACGATTACAAATTCGACTGGAGCTTGTCACATGCCGAGCACAAAACACTGTATTGCCGAGGCCGCTAGCACTGGCGATCGCTTCTGAACATCGAATGAATCATCAAAAAACTATTAACGTTATACGTGTAATACTACGTATAGTACTAGTACTTAGAAGTATTGTTGTTGTCGTGGGTCTGGTGCTTTGTGACGTGACTATTGATATGAGACAGGCAAAAGGAATGGTGTTCCGTACTATCTGGAGTAGTAGTTGGCTGGGACGTCAGGTTGTTTGTTTGCAACGACAAGAATTGAGCGCTGCAATACATTGACATCATAGCGATGACACTGTCATCTGACCTAGATGGTTATTTCACCTTGTGTGCGATGGGTGTCGACTGAATGGACTAATTTCCTACCTTATCTTCAAAACACCCAAACTAACATTATACTACAGTGCTAACTTTCAACAGCCAATCAGGACGCGTGAATAGAGGATTTGTTGCACAAATAAGTATGGTAGCACCAACTACGCATATCAGCTACTTGTACGGGTTAAAGCGTCTCAGTGGTTAGCAATAGCTAGCCGCTGTGATGTGCTTAACCCCCGGAATAACATTATAATTTGAAGTAACTTCGAAATTTCAGTGCCCACCGTGGGTAGGACGAAGTCTCAGTTTCCATGGGTTTTTTTGTACCTCATACTGTACAGTAGTACCAGTATATGCGTGCAGAGCCTTATCTAAGGAATTCCCCATTGACTGTAAAGGTATAGTTTGGGCGTTTTGAAGGTACCAGTAACGTTGAGGTATATCTCCTGAGGGAATTAGTCCAACTGCATGATATTGATCTTTATTCCAATGACCAGTACACCAGTACTGTAGTACAGGCAAAGATGACTTTAGCCTGCGCAGGGGCGCACCATCCATTGGATCCATTAGCTACAGTACATTTCCCCGTACAGTTGTACACTTCCCCATGTGTAGGTTCTGTGCACGTTCGAACCACGGCGTACAGTACCTAGTACATGTACCCAGATGCGCTTAATCTCTGACAATACTCGGCTCGCAGCTGCCATTGGTTCTACCGACCCCTGTGAAAGGTCTGGTCAACCTGTGGGTGCAGTAACGTTACTTTTGTGGTGGAAATTCCTTGGCATTTCAACACAAATATCACCCCCCTGTCGAACAGATTTAACTCAGGCCTCCGTGCATCTCGTACAGTTTGCAGCGGTTAGTGCACAAGGGGTTCATAGCCACACGAAATGTAAGTTCTAAGTACCTAACGTTAGTGCAAGAGATCCTTGTCCAAGCTGTGACATACTACCAGCCTTTGCGATTATCACACTCACATTCCACGCGCGCCGTCAATTCAGTTGATGGCCACGACAAAATATACTGTAATTCACATAACGTTAACACAAGATCATGCCGGCGCAAACATGGTTCGTCAAAGCAAAGATGTATGTATAGCAACCACAGTACCTGGTAGTGAACGTTAGTGTGAATACACAATCTTAAAATCCACGCTTGGCCGTTACTCCGGAGTACAACATTGGGTACTGTACCGTATTCCCCGTTTAGCTGTACCTTTAAATGTCAGGGAAAAACCTGATCCAAGGGTCGAAAAAATATCAGTTATTGGCTTATCCAATGAAACAGGTTTAATAGGTTGGATTATCCAATGAAAGAGGGGTTGGGTACAGATATCCGATACTAAGAGTAATCGGTACAGGTCTAATAGTACAACGAGAACGAGTCGAGCCACTGGGCCTTTCGGTCTGTGTATCCGGCGGGGCAGTACGCGTACTCTGTCCGCTTCGATGGGGGAGTCGACGCAAACAAGGTGTACTTGGACGCGTTGGTGAAGATGCGGCCTATTGCCTGGATGGTCGAGTACGTCCCCAAAATGATGGATGCGACGATGACGAACCAGCACAAGATCTTGTGGGGTTTGCTCATCTCGGCCTTGAACAGCTTGTAGTACAGCATCAAGGGCAAAGTCACGGAGCAAAAGTTCATGACAGAAGCGCCAGCCAAGTCGGCCACGTCCGAGAACGAGCTCTGGGTGAGCATGGCCAAGAAGCACTGGCTCGCCACGATCAGCGTCCGAAAGATGTACCGGCGCACGGTTTCGCTGTACTTAGCCCCTTCTGCAGAGGTTTGGGCATCATCTAGACCGGGCACGACTTTGGGGGTTTCAATCTGGGCGAAATCTCGGTCCCGAGCATCAGCGGCGTCGTCCTTGGCGGCGGAGATTGGGAACAACGTCTTTTCCACCGTAACGAAGAACGGGTTCAAGAACACGGCGAACGCGATGGAAATGTGCATTTGCATGGCAATGTACGCGGCGCGGCGGCGCTGCGATGTGTGGGTCATGGCCAAGAGGAGGTTGCTGGGCGAGGCACAGCCAAAGTGGGCGTACCCGAGGGCCCCCAGCGTCACGTAGAACCCCGAAATGAGCAGCATACCGTAGACTAACGCTGTGGGCATCTTCTCTGGCTGGGGGTGGTGGTGCTGTAGTTGGGGCACGACCACCGCCGCCCCATATGCCAGCGCAAACGATCCGAACGTGTCGAGGACATGCGTGACCCGAATGTTGTCTGTAGGCTCATACAACTCGTCCCCGTGGGCAACATAGGCATCGATGGTGGCAATGATGTCGCCGATGATGGTTGCCAATGCGCCAGTGATCAACACAATGTACGCTTCATGCAGGACGCGGATGTAGATGATGGGCAGCAGCACCACCGCCATAAGGATGATCCAGACGGTGGTGGAGATGTCGATGGCGCCGTCAAAGATGACGGGAAGGAGCGTGGTCCCGCCGAGTACGAGGAAAGCCACGGGAAGGAGAAAGCACGACGCCAGTTGGGTGGCTTGCACGACATACGCGCCTTTCTGGCCCCACAAGTGGACGGCCAAGTCCGTGTACGTGTGAATATGGGGCACATGGCGGAGCTTTAGAAAACAATGTGACAGAGCGACTGTGGCGTACGTGTTGAAAAAGCAGTTGAGAACAAACGCCATCGTCGAGTAGGTCGGGCCAGCTTGCGCAAAGATGTACGGCATCGAAAGCGACCCAACTCCGCACACGCATGCCGCCAAGTGGATGATCACAAGCACGTCTTGCTTGCTGGGCAGGTGGAGTGAGAACATGACAAGGGGATTTTCACAATGATGGGTTGGAGAGAGCTGACCGTCCATGGATAGAAAAACACGACTACAAAGTACTGTAAGTAGGAAACAGGTGACGGGGCGACGACTCGCGCTAGTTTTTGTAGCGATGTGTACCCGAGTGATTCCGTTGCGTCCGCTACTGTAGGTTCGACCAGATTGGGGACCAGCATGTCCACGGTCCGCTTTAGTTGGCAATCAGTGTAATGAACGGGGAACTCGATTGAGACAGCGATATACGTACTCTACTATAGAGCCCATGATCATGTCATTTTTCACAAGGGAATGTGACGAAACAATGCATATCTATCGAGCGTAGACATATTGTATGCATATTGTATTATGGAATTGCTCGTGGTGACAACATCCATACAAGGGATGCAAAGTCGGGATAACTCTCTCTGTGCATGCTTTATGTGGGAATCCGACGATTGTGGCCGTGGTTTTGTGCGACCGCACATCATACTATTAATAGTAATCAACAATTATATATACGACGACGAAATGGATCACATCCTACAACCATATTTATTCGTTTATATGAAAATATGTATGATTTACTCAGCGGCAACTTGTATTTTGGGTTCATGGGCTTGAATTTTAAGATAGAGTCGGCACAATTTATGCTTGAGTAATCAATGGCAATTGCACTTCTGTGATGGGACGACCCCACACTGATGACATATGTACTACGTAGTACCTCAGTCGAGGACATTTGAGATGAGGCATATGGGGGCACATAAACCTGCGAAACACTACCCCGAAAAGACAACACACCTTCAACGAACCTGGATTTTGATATCAATGGTCTATCGTTACAACGCTGTTGGCACCTGGCGAAGTGATCTGGCCCTGCTGGTTACTTCGAAGTATTTATCACTGCATGCATATTTGCCTCGTAAAATTCACTCCCAAGTAGTACTACGTTATACCAGTACCTACTACAGTACAGTATTGCAGTACTCCGGAGTATACACACACTCTGTTGTACTAGGTACAGTACTACGCATAAGAAAAGATAGATCATTCGGTGAAGTGAGAAGCTTAGATCCGCGCTCTCGTACGGCCGCGCTTGCGCAGACGGCCTCCCGGGCCCTCGGGGCCAACGTAAGGCTTGGTCACTACTTTAGGTTTCATCCACAACTTCATTCAATTTCATCCAATGTCATCCAAATTTCATCCACATGTCATCCACGCTTTTAATTCAACAATTATATTATATTAACCATAGTATCCAAGGTTGGTATTAATATTCAATGCTGTCCCGTAAGTCTTAACTGTAAGTACTATTTAATAGTAATAGTATTAATAGTTAGTACTGTACTCGACTAACGTAGAATGCCAATTGTTGCAATAACGTTAACGTTACAACTTTTTTGTTCTTTGGAGAATGGCCATAATTCCTGAATTGTTGACGTACTTCCTCCGTTCCAGTATACTTGAGTGACTTTTTTTTGGTTAGTGAATATATAGAAATTTGTATTCAAAATATGTACTATTCCATGTGGTACGTGTATTAATATTCAAAATCTGATGTGCACGACGTGCTAATGCATGACATGCTACACTACTTCAATTCCATCATTTGCGCCAGACCCAGAAACACCAGAATCTAGTAGTCCTACAATTTCACCGACGCGCTGCTCGTCTTCCAAGCGGCTCTCCATCGACTCAATAGCTAAAAGCACATCCTCATCACACGAAGGACGAAGCTCAGTCACCCTTGTCTTGAACTGCATGTCTTTCTTCAGGTGAGGCAGCTTGTAAACATTGTCGCCACTGCTCCTCATTGCTTCTTCCATGACCTTTTGCAAAGTCATAAACGTCTTGTCCAGAACTCGCCACGCAAGATTCTCGAACGCGTCTTCAACGCACTTGATCAAATCGTCGATGGTTCTTGCTGTTGTCTGATGCTGCAAGCTCTGAATTGCATTGAAAAACCCCAAGTCAAGGACATTGAAGTCAGGACTCTGGGCCGGTTGCGCCATGAGCTGGATGTTCCACCCTTCCTTTGTCCCAGCTGCCAGGACTTCGGGATCGTCGACAGCGACGTGGGGCTTTGCATTGTCTTGTTGGACATATATGGTCGCACCACGGCGACCTGGCCATTGAGCTTGGATCGCCGGTATGACCTTGTCAACAAGAAAACGTCGGTACACTGGCTTGGTGACAGTCATCGGCACAGTAACAGGTGTGCCACGATCACGGTTCTTGCTTCGACGTTTCGCCAACTGGGTCTCAACAAACGGCCACAACCCAACCTTGCCATCCCACATCTTGCGATGTGCACTGTCATGTCGAGGACGAGCGACGGCACAAAGGAACATGACCTTGGTTATGTGACGCTTTGATTGGGCCTTTCGTTGTGGCGTTGGCTCATCGTGCCAAAGATAGAACCGTCGGTTGACTTGGGTGATGTAAAACCACTTTTCGTCGATATGGACACAGTCCAACATGTCGTGCCACTGGCGGCGGCCTTAGTAGCCATCACGAATGAACGAATTTGCGAAATTGTACCGCGCAACACGATATTGTGGTGTGAGCAATGGTCGCAGACGGCTTGTGCGCCGATTCAACTTTTTGGCCTTGACGAGGCGCCACAGCGCCGTCTTGGGGACACCAGTGGCCTTTGCCATTGTTCTGTAGGCGGCGTAGATGAGCTGGTGCACTGGTGACGGCACTTTGAACGTCTTCGTCCTTGTACTTGCGTGGCCTCCCGCACCGTCCCTTTTTTTTGGAGCCGAACTTTGCAACTCCAAGTGAAGCTGCTGTCTCGCATCCACGCCGCCAGATGCGTGAGATGGTTTGCTGACTGATGTTGAAGGACTGCATCAGATTCTTCATCTCTCCATGGCCAACACGCCCGTTGCTTTTGAGCTGCAGGAGTCGATGGTACACCGCCGACCTCTGGTCGTCGGTGAGTTCACGACCGGTCGTGGCCCTTGGCAATGCGTGAACTTCCGTTGAAAGCCTTCCGGTAATTTTGCGGGGCTTCTAAAGGGTGCTAGCAATATCTACGCAACGAGACGAGTCGTTTGCGCGTGATTTGAGGGCCAAACGATGAGAAATGAATGAGTTACGTAGTTTTTAAGGTTTTCTCGGTCGGTAGCCATTCGTAGCTAGCTTATACCTCATGCGTTATAGCGAATAAAATTGACCTGAAAATACTGGGCTGTAGGGCGTTCATTTCTCTATGATTTGAGCCTATTTAGGCCCTCTGAAACCCCCTCTAGCCAAAGTTAGAGTCTCTGGCGTAACTTCACACAGGTATACTGGAACGGAGGAAGTATTATTTTAACCTTCGGTGTTGTATGGCTACGAGTACCGTATAGTGTATATGCATTGCGACGGATTAATCTATTGCGACTCCTGTAATAACTGATAATTTTCTTGTAATAACTGATATACATGTTGAATATACTTCAAATTTGTATGACGCAATGGATTAACAAAATTTTGAGAACGAGTGTCGGTTGGTTGTGAAATATCACCTGTCGCAATACATATACACTATACGGTATACATATTCAGAGGTTTGTACTGTGATTGGCGCTGTTCCAATTTAGGGATCAGTGATTGGCTTTACAGTTTTATAATAATATCATTAATTGGCACATACCCCATTAGTTGGCACTTTACGTTACCATGAAATTATTGGCGAAGTTAAAAATGAATTCATGAATGTGATTCTGTAAATATTCCCCCATCTTCCTTGTCGAGTTGCCAGCATGCTGTCGTGCCATATACCCAGCAAGCATGACCTGCTTGTGATCGTGCACCTCATCTGTTGCATGTGCGGAATTGGGTCTCTCTCGATGCCTTACATCTTTGCTCAGGCTGGCCCGATCTACTCCATGCTTGCGTTTCTTCTCAACGGCTGCATCAACACATACGCCACGGTTGCGTTATCGCACTGCTTATTGAAACTCCGCCATCTCCCGCATATTCACACGTACACTGACTTGGCTGTGCATGTGTGGGGTCGAAAGGGGGTGTATATTGTCCAGGCGACACAGTTGGCGTCGTGCTTTCTCCTACCCGTGGCGTTCCTCGTGCTTGGTGGGGCCACGCTCCTTCCGGCCATTTTTGACGGCGCCATCGACTTCTCCCCGGCTGTGTGGATTGTCCTCATGGCCATCGTGCTGCTCCCCATCATCTACATTCGAGTCCTGCATGAAGCGTACATCGTGTTGATTTCGGGGGCAGCTGCTACCTTCATCGCAGATGTGCTTGCCACCGTCGACGCCTATGTCGCCCACGGAGACGAGTTGTATGAACCTACAGACACCGTTGGCTTTACCAACGTCCTCGACACGTTCGGATCGTTTGCGTTGGCGTATGGGGCTGCCGTCGTGATCCCCCAACTGCAGCACCATCACCCCCAGCCAGAGAAGATGCCTACCGCATTAGTCTATGGCATGCTGCTCATTTCGGGCTTTTACGTGACGCTGGGGGCACTCGGGTACGCCCATTTTGGCTGTGCTTCGCCCAACAACCTCCTCTTGGCCATGTCGCACACCACTTCTCGTCGTCGAGTGGCATATGCGTCCATGTTTTTGCATGTTTCGATGGCGTTTGCAGTGTTGGTGAACCCGTTCTTCGTCACAGTGGAGAAGTCCATGTCCCCCCCACGTCTCCTTCAAGATGAACGCGACAATAATGACGACGAAGAAGCTGTCGACGTGGGCACTTGTGACATTGACATTGACGAACAGTCATTCCATCCATTGGACACCCCAAAAATGAACGAGGATGGACCTACGATGCCGCCTTTAGATTGTAAGCAACCTTCTGGTGGAAATGACAACACCGAAGCCAGCATTTCGTCGACAGCTTCCACGTCCAGCGAGAACACCCGCCGTATCGTGTTTCGCACAATCATCGTGGCCATTCAGTGCTTTCTCGCCACGCTTTTGCAAAGCTCGTTCTACGACATGGCCGATTTGATTGGTGCGTCGCTGGCCAACATTTGCTCGGTGATCATGCCCCTGTTGTTGTACTACAAGCTGTTCGCAAACGAAATCTCCAAGACCCACAAGCTCCTGTGTTGGACAGTCATTTTGGTGTCCATTCTGCTGGGGTCGTACTCGACGATTCACGCCATCCGCCGCATCGTCAAGAATGCGTCCGAGTACACAGTCTTCGCAAGCGTCCCGAGTGCCAAGCGGACATCGTACCCGCTCTGCCCCGCTGGGTATGCAGATCGAAAGGCTCAGTGGCTTGACTCGTTCACGTTGTACTATTAACCTCCCAGCTGTAGCAACGACACAGTACTTGTTAGAGTACTAGATGACCTTATCTAAATTCATAGTAACGCGATTTTTCGATCGCTAGCTTCACATTATGCCATAGTTGCCGATGGAGATGGATTTGACCTTGTGGTGTTGGCGAGATAAGGTGTAAAACCCAGCAATGTGGAATGTCTTGATGCATTGGGCTTCCGGTTGTGTCGTAACACTCGATCCTCCAATGCACTTCATACTACCCTGATGGTATCAATATGTACATTTCACTTGGCTTACCAAAGTTATGGGCCAAATCACCCTAGTACCTTGTAATTATAATGTGATCTCACTTGTACATACTTTAACCTGCGAACGACACGATCTTCGTGTGACGCCCACTCTGTAGATCAGGACAATATGTCCATTGTATGTGACCAGTATGTCGTCAACTGTGAGATGTGTACCTAAGTACAGGATGTACTTGTAGATATGGATTCTTTAGAACAAACAACGGAATTGAGTTGATAAATACAAGGACCTTGTTCGACTGAGTTAGCTCAAATCATGGGAGAACCGCGGTGACAGTAAGCTGTTCCTCAGTCGCTTTAACCAAATCGTCCACGACTTCATCGTCGTCCTCGTCGTCGTCGCGGAGCTCTGGGAGATTGTCTTCGTCGAAGATGACGCGGATGGTCAACGAGCAGCTGGGACACGAGCCAATGTCGTCGCCATCGTAGAGGTCCTGCAATGTGATGAAGAAGTTGTCTCCACAGGGGCACGGGTACGTATATAGCTGCTCCTTCTCGTTATACTCCATGTCTTCAATCTCAATCTCATCGTACACGGACATGGTGGCGGCGCGCTCCTGCTCTTGTTGAATGCCCAAGTGGTAAAACGCAACGGCGGTGTGATTGGTTGGCCATTGAAACACTAAATATAACTCAAGCCTCAAAATAGTGTGATTATGCCGTTTGGAATAAAGCATTTAAAATACTATCAATAGTAACAATTGTTGTGGTATTATTCAATCTAAGCTTGTACTTTGTAAACTGTATACTGTATTTTTGTTTTTATTTAATATCATTTGTAGGAATATATATTCTTCATCAAGGAAACGTCAAATAAAACTGTAACCGCATGCTGTGAGAACCCCAACGGAGCGACACCGCCGCAAAGATCCATGGCGCATCTAGACATCCACGAGTACACGATGGAGGAAGTGGCAATACACAGCACAGCCGGCGATGCATGGATTGTGCTGGGCAGTGACGGCAAGCAAAAGATCTTTGACATAACTGCCTTCCTCGACGAGCACCCTGGTGGCCCCGAGGTCTTGGTCGACCTGGCCGGAAAGGATGCACACGAAGAGTTTGAGGGCGTCGGCCATTCCAAAACCGCCCGCGACATGGTACAACAGCTATGTGTAGGTCGGTTAAAAGCCCAGGGCAAGAAGAAACCCAAGCGAGGACGGATAGTCTTGCCCATGGTGGAACCTGAATCAAGTGACAACACGCGGGACAATCGGTTGCTGGCGCTCATGGTGGCCTTCATGGCGATATGCTTTGGCTATTTGATCTCCCCCATGGCATAAATATCTCAAATACTAGTACTTGTCCGGAAGGACTTCGTGCGGCGGACGACGTGCAGTGTGCACATGATCCACGACCGGGTTATGCCCCAACTAACATCATTTCAATACAATGGGTAACCTCGACCAGTGCAATGAATGAAAAATGAGATACAGTATGGTACGGGTGAGTATATGTGACAATGTGCTCTGTACGTAGGCAGATATCCAATAAACTTGACGAGTTGCATGTGTGCATCAGGCTTCGGACTTAATATATATTTGAGATAATAATCTAGATAAGGTAGCAAAAATAGTCTATTTCTTATGTGACGTTGGATGCAATAATCTATTTTTAGTGCGCAGATATCGATAATCTATTTTCAAGCTTCGTCCAATTATACACCTTCGCCACACTATTTTTACAATGGTGTCGTTACGCAAATGACTGCTGCTGAGAAGGATGCATTGGTCATGCTCCTGTTGGATCCTGGCACGGTTGCAGTCCCCAGATCGCCGTTGAGCTACGCGGACGAACTTTTGGCTCCAAAGTCGCCGAATGGGACCAACAGCAAGCAAGTACTGCTGCTTGAAGTTTGTCGGTCCAACGAGCAACTTGGTTGAACGGCTCTTCAACGTCGCGAAGTACATCATGACAGACCTTAGAAAACACATGCATCCGGTGAATTTCGAGATGATCATATTCCTCCGCGCGAATGCATCCTATTGGAATGTTTACTCCCATGTGTAATAATATATTTGAACAATTATCGATATTTTGCATTTGCAAACAATTATTTATTATCG